CTATTTTCCTTACTTGAAAAATTTGTTCCAAAAACTCATTTTCCATATTCAACATTTGGAATAATCAATATATTTATACCTTTTCATTTTAGCCAAGCTGCCAAAGAAGGCTGTGCATGCAGACCAAACAGGTAAGATCTCAGAGGATAAAACCTGTGAAATTCAACCCCCCCCCCCATTTTGAAAAGTACAAAAGGGTCTTGTCAACTCTGCTTTCTTTTAATTATGGAATTAAGTCAGATCACTAACTTAAAGTGATCTCACTCTATGATTTTAACATGTTTAATGTATGGAATTAGTATGTCAGGGTAATGATGATTTAATAGCTGACCAGCTGCTGTAAGGCTGTAAACTGACATGATGAGGCAATGAGAATGAGTCAGCAGAGTTATCACTTTAAGAGGCTGTCTGTATAAGAGAGACCCTGTGAGGGCATCTCTCTCTCTCCATGTGTGTTTCTGTGCTGTTGATGATTGATTGCCTGACTTTGCCTAGTATGTGTATGTATATTCTATGTAGATAAATCACTATTTGAAAGAAAAACCTCTATTTACTGTATTTTGCTCCTGGGTTGTCTCAAAAATAGTCACACTGTGTACACTCTGACATAACATTTATTTTGTACTCTGAAATGCAAAAATCATATTCCGATCTTCCTTTTATTTTCTAGTAACACATAAGAAAGAAAAGCCAATAGAACTAGGTGTGTATGTTGTCATTGTACCTCCTTTATTTTCTTGAAGCAAATGATATGGTAGAGTTGTTCAACATTTATAATAACTCAGTATGTATATACTTTTATTTTAGACAAACTGCTAAAGAAGGATATCCATGTAAAAGAATCTGGTAAGATTTGGGTAAAAACAAATTTAGCAGTTTACAGTTCCCAACAATTAACTCAAGATTATTGAGATGTTTTTGCTGAAATAAAATGTGAAAAAGTGTCTGACTGAAGAAATCAAATGATGAGAGAGGATTGGTTTTTTAACAGTCATTTCTTGCCCTACTTCAACGTAATTTGCTTGCTGTTGCTTGAAGATATGTGTTCACATGAGGTGCTTCATGTTAGGATCTGCTTGCTGCTGAGGCAGGCTGGAATCATCTTCCAGATGATCCCAGGAGGTCATATAGAAGACCTCCTGTATGACTGAATTGGTAAATTGTTGTCCTTGCTTCTGCCTCGCTGGTAGGCTTTGTTTGGAATGATGAACTCATAAATCACCACCACTGGTGAATAATCCCTAAGTTTATTATTTCTATCTGTTATCCTCATGGCAACCTTAGCAAGACATTCACGACCCCTCCCCCCAGTGGTGGGTTCCTACCATTTCGGACCGGTTCAGGTGAATTGGTAGTGGTTTGGCAGCCTGTGTCACTGGAACTGGCAGTGATCCAGGCTTGCCACACCCCCAAACCAGTTCTCCTGCAGCCCCACCATCTTGATTTTCGGTTCTGCATGTGCACAGAACAATTTTCATTACACAAATTTTTATTTCATTTTTTTAACCAATTTCATTGTATTTATTTTGTACAATGGCAATAAAGATTATACTTAATGTTTTGCGCATGTGCAGACCTATTTATGTGCAAATCTGCACGCATGTGGAGCACATTTTTGTGCACATCAAACCGGCAGTAATGCACGCACCGAACCAGCAGTAATGCCAGCAACAACCCACCCCTGCCCCCCCCCATCACTATTGATCTGAGCCTCTCTTCCATCACCCATCATTTACTTCTTCTTTGACTGAATCCTTCCCACATCCTAGCCAGGTTTGGACCCTTCCTTATACTTCTTCTTCTTCCCCCAGATGCCATTACTCTTAAATCTCTCATTGTGAGATAGCTTTATTGTCACATCTGACAGCAGCAAAAGTAGGAGGAGAGGCCACCACTGTGTTTGCACCAGGGGGGAAATCTCTTAATGAATAGATAATAAAGTACAGTCTGCCAAAGCTGAGTTATCTAGTCAGAGCCATCCCTTCAATCCCAATTTAGTTTCAATTGGAGAATTACAACTTTTTTTTCCCCTAAGTACCTCACTCAATCATTTGCTTCTCTGTTATGTATTAAACTATACACTGTTTATTTTAAATACCCAAATGCAGAATTCATATTTTCCCCCATCCTCTTACTTTTTAGAAGCAGACAAGAAAGAAAAGCCAATTGAAATAGGTAAGCACACTCTTACTTTTCTGAAATAACCTTACCTGAAAGATGTGTTATACATACTGATAATCTATATTCAGCTTTTACAATAATTGATCTATTTAAATATTTTTATTGTAGCCAAGCTGCCCAAAAAGCCTGTGCAAGCAAGCAAAACTGGTAAGACTTGAGCAAGAATAAATCTGGAAAATTCCACTTGAAAAGACTATAGGAATGTTTCATAAGAGCAGTGGCTAATTGATGAAAATAAACCATCAAATGTAGAAAGGACCATTCAATGAAAAATCATTTTCTTGACTCTTGTTTTCTAGAAACAGACAAGAAGGAAAAGCCAGTAGAAATTGGTAAGTATGCTGTCCATGTCCTATTTCTAATTCCCTGTTTAAAATTTATAATAACCTCAAATTTGTATTATTTAATTTTAGCCAAGCTACCAAAGAAGGATATTCATATAAAAGAAACTGGTAAGATCTTAGCAAAATAAAAAAGTAAAAATGCCTACAATAAGTTATCTAGGATCATCATCTTCAGGTCTTTCTCTTATTTTCTAGAACCAGATAAGAAAGAAAAGTCAATACAAATAGGTAAGCACTCTTTTATTTTCTAACCTTTGCTCCCTTTAACAAATAGTTATGATAGGAATATTGATTATCTACGGTATGTATAAAATTTATTATAACCAAAATACTTATTTATTTATTTATTTTAGCCAAGCCGCCTAAGAAGGATGCGCATATAAAGGAATCTGGTAGGATCTGGGCAAAAATACACCTATGTTTGAATTTGTATTTTCTACTTTTAAGCACTTAGTTTTAAATGAAATAAAATTAAGGGCATATAACATAGTGTACATTTTGACCACTGTGGCCTCAACCACATAGCCCCATTGCTGTACATTCAAGATAGTATATTTGCTGTTTGTAGAGCACATATTTTCACTTAGTTCCTCCCTCTTAGGGCCAGCTTGCTACTGAGAAATAGTGAATTTGCTCCAAGCAATCTAGCCAGACTCCTTTCCATCAGAAAACAGAAGCAAACCTCCTCCATATTCATTCTGTGTTGCCTAGAGATGGATTCTCTAATGTTGGCAAGCCACTGGGTTTCATTATTCCACAAATGGACTGAACCATTCCATCCATCATGAATTGTTTACTATCAAGGAGATGAAATCCCTCCAATTTGTAGCTTGCCTTTCCTTTTGGGGGTGAGAGTGGCAGTGACGTGCGGTCAGCTTTACCCCCGGTGAGGCTGTTTTTAGACTTGTGGACTTCAACTCCCAGAATTCCACAGCCAGGCATGCTCAGT